AAACGTCCGAAAAATACTGCGTAAATAAATAATTTAATATAATTTCTCAGGCTGGTTTTCATGGTTATCAACGTGTTTATTTATTTACATTCTTAACGCGTGCTGATAATGAAGTTTGTTGCCCCACTTAGGGAGATGGAGCGCTATCAATAACAGATAACAAAATGGAAGTATGTTTGCGGAGAAAGTTTGACTTTTCAAGATTACTGTTGGACCCTTCACAACCTACAATAACTAACGATAAATTTAAATATACCGATACCAATTTTACATGATTACTAATACTAATGACAATAACAGTGTGCCAGACAACCATGCCAGTTGCCTGGTCTCAGACTTGGGAATTCCAACCAGAATCAATTTAGAAAAGTTCATTTCCCAATTGTTCCTACCGGGAATCGAGACCGGGACCTCCTCAAACGAATCAACTTAACTCCAAGCGCCCCCAGTGCAAACCGTTGGGCCACCGAGGTTGTCAAAGATAATGAAACAGACAGTAAAGTATTGTCTAAAGTTATTTCATAATTAACTTAATCAAGTATTATTATTGCAAAATAAAACTAATTAAGTAGGTAATTATGGTGCATAATCACATACACGTAATCAAATGTAGTCTGGGTATAAGATTGTGAAATATGATAAAGTATCAATATTTTTAATTCACACGTAAGAAACTGGTTCCTATACATATAACATTGCCGGTGCAAATACAGTACACTAGCTGTACAATGTGACTGTACTTGAACATGACGGCGTGTTGTGTGTTGTGTGTGCAGTATAGCAACAAGTCGAACAATAAAACCTGCCGGCTGCGCCCGCGCCCGCGCCCGCGCCAGCGCCAGGTGACATAATAGATCAAGACAGGTTTTTATAATCAACTTCAACCAATTAATAAGTCCGTGACACACTAATCACTCTTCGAGAAATATCTATTTATGACAACAAATTTATTTCCAAATTCATCTCACCTTGCGATAATCAAGCAGAGTGAAAGAACCTAATCCATTGTTTGGTAGTTATTATCCTGTATAGCGGTATAATTGTCTAAATTATGTTTATTAATAAATTAAGTTTGAAAGTCAGTTCTATTATTTTACAATTTAATTGTTGACTGCTTACAAGTATAGCATAGGAATCTGGAACCTTGATTGATATTATCATAATATGATGGTGATGAAAACAGACATGCAAAGGAGATTTAATCTTTATCAAAGTAAAACACAAAGTTGATGCGTCACACGTGAACGCAAAGAGAGCAATCTGACAAAATGGTACAAAACCTGTACTCGACAAAGTTTAGATTTTTTACGATTAGAACTATTTTAAACTCTTTCTGTTTGAGATAGAATAGATGCGTTTGATACAGAAACTGGTAGCTCTGTCAGTGCCGCGATGCGGAGCTAGTCCATGGGAGCGAACGGCGACCAAACAATGATGCTTGGAATGCGATACAAAAAAAGGCGCGAGCGAGACAGCACGGCGCAGTTAGAAAGAGAGAGTCTTGATCAGTGAGCATGCTTCCTGCCGAGGGTTTCAACTTGTGGGAGCCCTTACAATCTTAGGCGAACTTAAACTTTCTGTTGGCGCTTTTTGACACATCCGACATTTAATATCCCAAGCGTTACATTGAAGCCTTGACACAAAATATAGAAAGTCACTTCTGCTATTGTTAAACACTTAGCGTTTATTTACCATAACTCTTTCATGTGCTCTTCGGAACTTTCACCTTTTAGGTCTTTCTCCTAAGTACGAGTACTCTAGCGCACGCAAGTCTCTACTCGTTCATGCCTTAACTTTTGCGTCCGAGTTAATCACATGATTATCCATAACAAACATAGCCTTGATCTTAACATTCTTCTTTGTTTTCGTCATTATCTTCTCATGTAATCGGGCCGTAAATCAAGATAAGAGTATAATTTCGCTGCGTAGATAGATTGAGCAGCAGTGCAGGATTCCGACTTTCACTATCTCGGAGACGAGTCACGTTAGACCCGACTTGACATCGCCGTTAAGAGTTTGCACTCGACACCGATGCATTCCTTCACGTAGTAGGACTTCGCTGAAAATAAACTGTAATCATTGCCCATCGCCACATCCTTCAACGCGTCCGACCAAATTTTGAAATCGTCTCTAGCTTTACTCATGCATGCAAATCCAATCGCTACAATTAGTGAGCAAATTAATGATTTCGATAAAAATAGGTGTCGTGAATTGTGAACGAAAACGTTGACGCATGGTGTTACGTAAGAGTGTCATTAGGGGGCGAGTGTCGAAGCAACAAGCAGTTAAGGCTTACGAACAATTTCTCAACATGTTGCTACAGTTATTAAGCGTGAAGTCAGAATTAAATGCACAAGGCTCTCTTACTAATAAATTCCCAACACTTTGTACGGGGTAACATGTATGGTTTAAATTAGTAAAATCAGATTCAAAATGTGTGTTTTCGAGACGTCACAATTTTTTTTTGTTGTGGACAAACAAGTCGTGCGCCTGATGGTAAGCTACATGGCTGTCCATAACAGTTGCAGTGCCACTCAGACTTCTAAATCGCATAGATCTGAAGGGCACTGCCACTGCCGCCCTCACCCTGAGATATAAATTGATAAGTCCCATGTGCCTGTAATATCACCAGCACCCTTACCCTTCAAAACCAGAACACAGTAATGCTGACATTACTGCTTGGCGGCAGAAGTAGGTATTGTCTTTCGAGGAATATTCTAAGGTACAAAATAAACAAAATATAAAAGATAATATAATGAACTTGGTTGTAAATAATTACAGACGAAAATATAACTTTTAAAAATGCATATGTGAGAAACTTTCGTTTAGAAGTAGTAAAAGCACTTTATGTGCGTTTGTCCGTCTGTCTGTACCGCGGGAGCAATTACTACGCGACATTAAATACGTGAGCGAGCAGAGAAAACGATTGAACCTGCCGGTTTCACCTCAGTTCCTACGTAGTGATGCATTGATTGGCATAAACATTATAATAGGTACAATAGGATGTAATAACTTTGTATGTGGATATTGTTCCTGGTGTGTTGTTACAAATAAAATTATTAGCGTACTAAATGCACCTCTGCTGGGTGATGTCCGATGCCCGCCAGTAGTCTTGGTAAATTGTGAAAAGTTTTTCTTAAAAACATTTACTTATAGGATATTCTGCATTGCATTTCTCGCAACACCAGTACCACTTCACAAAGATTATTTAATTCATTTTTCTACTTATGATTTCTCTGTTTTTTGTTTTCACAAACTTACAACTTTCGCATTCTATTACAGACAAATACATTTATCAAGAACGATTTAGCTGAAAACAATCACCACGCCGATAATGACAACACCTAAAAAGGTTTTTGTATGGCTGTGATTATTCTAAACGCAGACCAACAGGAATAATTTCTTATCACCCCACAGGTTATGTACAGGCAGTGAAATGAATATAAACACAAGTGATATCAATAGAACCTACGAGAAATAACGTATTTAAAACAGAACCATTGTCTTCCGCATGTTGGCTAGGGATGGTAATTTATCTCAAACTACAAACAAAGCAAAAGCAAAAGCTATATCGTTATAATCCAATTATCTGCAGCTTTCTCTGCTCGTGAATGTTCTTTGATCACTCGCTATTGTAACTATTTCTGTTAAAATCTCTATCAGCATGTTTCACTTACGTACCTTTCTGCATTACCTACGCTACCTTAATATTTGTATGTATGCTGTACAAGATGTGCCATACATTTTCATTTATTTCCGGTTCACGTACATTTACTGCGTTTTTTTTAAACCTTATCCGCTATAATTCTTAAAGTAACGATAGTCCTAATTTTGCTTAAGGTAATTGTCATAAATTTTAAGTCGTTTTAAAGCCTAATCTCGAAGACATTAAAATGCACACTGATAGTGAATACTTCGCACGTTAATCTTGTTGCTTAATGTAAACAGAACATTTAATCAGTTTTTTCTGATCTTTATAGTCATCTCTTCCTGCGAAGTATGTAAACAAAGAAGAATAACCGTTCGATTTCACCAAGATCGTTTTAAATAACTGGATCATTATGCTACGGCGGCGGCGCATGACTGATAGATGCGGGAGTTTCCAATATGCTGATTGTGATTTACTTTTGATGACAGTGAAGCTCTACTTTTGACATCAATCTATCACTCATATTTTGCCATGAAGATTGCATTAAATTAGACCGATAACTTACGGTAATTCAAAGTCCCGTCTAAGAACCAAATTCAGACATTTCTAAAACGCATAAAAATACAATTCAAACCCGATTGGTACACGTAAATTACGATTGTTTTATGAAATTCCAACACGAGAAACTATACGTAATTGCCAGACAAAAAAAATTTGCTCAAACTCTTCATAGAATGGAATTATAAGAATTTTGATATCGAATGTTGTGCTCGGATGATTCGCCTTGAACCACTTGCTCGACGCCTTGCCTTGCACAGTTTGTATCACGAACATTTGTTCCAAATGATACCACCGCTCAAACAATATTGTTTGCATTAATACTTCTTCAAACAGTTGTTTAATTGCATTTGCTAATACTGGTTCCAAGCAGATTTAATTCTATAAATGGGAACAATGATTCACATTGTATAGTAAAAGATTACACTTAAGCTTCTAAGCAAGTGCACAAATTTACGTCATTACATGTCGTAAGGGATAATTAAATACTAATGATTATGGGCACTTGTGGTTATATTAGAATGATTATTTCTGTTTAAATAAGTGAATGCAAGGATTACAAAACCACGTTACAACACCGGCACTTTGCCGTAAGCGTACCTAAAGCCTATATTTTTTTCGTCACCCTCAGTTGATTAAAGTATCATCCAATAGGAAATTAATCAGAATGATATCGCAATGCGGTAAAAGTTTGCCGCGCTCGTGCGACATCGAGTGGTTTACATTGTGCAACCACAACAATTATATCGTAACCGATAGGACGAACAATTATGGAATCTAGTAAGAGGCTTACCTTTAGCCCAGCCAGTGAGGACGTTGCCGAGATAAGCCACCTTGTAGACAGGATCCGGCTCACTGATGCGCACACTATTGGTACGGCGTAGCAGGCGCCCCAAACCGCGTGACAGCCGGCCAATAGCACGTGTCGTGAAGTCCTTCCCGGTGGCGGCATCAGCCAGACACACTTCATTTGGCAATGTTGATTTGGCTTGGCCATTTTCCTGCGTCTTGTGGCTAATGAGCCGCGGCATTGTCAGAGGAACAGACTTTTTCTTCTCCGGCGTCAGCGTCTTTGCCTGATTCACACTGTAAACGTTACAGTTCTTCTTAAAGCCCTGCCCGTTCACATCTTTGGTTTGATCTGTTCCTTTCTCAGTCTTATCTTGTGCATCGAATTCATTGCTCTTGAAAACCGATATTTTGCCGTTTAGGTTCTCGCTCATGTTATTGTTGTTGTTGTTATTGTTTAGGTTGTCCGTCTGGCCATCACTAAGCCGCCTTTCCGCGCTTGAGCGTCTTTTCATCAGCGAAGGATTCCTTAGCATGATACTCGTTTCGCTAGAGCTGCGATTTTTCAAAATGTGGATTTTCTTTACGCGCGAGACGGCAAAGTCAACCTCGTCGGCGTTTACCATCCTTTCAGTTTTACCTTCCTCATCAAGGAAGCGGACTCGTAAGCCATTAGGTTTGTAATCTCCATTCAAAGTTTTTTCCGTGTCTTGCAAATTGTCCGTTTGGCTTTTTGCGCCAGCATCGAGGCAATGGCGCTCATTTTCACTGAGAGCTCCACGAGCCATTTTTCTCTTGAAATAGGCACCGGTTTTTGTTGGTACTTTATTACATTCTGGACGAAGCTCGTATCATCGTTAAATTTTTCACACGGTTTCAGGTCACGGTAGCTTCTAAGTAGTCTATTAAGTTCTCGGATGCTGGTGGCACCGAAACCAGTCACTTCCTTAGCTAACTACTAAACACACACTGAGCAGTACACACCTCGTCCATTAAAGAACGACACCGGTTTGGAATGTAGCCTTCTCTACACTTACTCAATGCACTTGTCCAGGAGAGAGAATGTTCACTTATATATCGATTATTTACAATTCTGTTACGTGTACTGTACAAGATTTGGATCAATGAATATAAATATGAACGATTACCACTCTTGAGAAGTTACTTTTGACTCACAACTTCGAAAAGAACTTTGACAGAGCAATCGCGACACATGCGTCCCTCACGGCTCGCGGCGGAGGAATGACGGCAGCGGCGCGCGGGCGGCAGCGCGGGCGCAGCTCCGGTCACTCGGACCGGGCTTTGATTTTAATGATCTAACTGGTATGGTATTATAATGTAGCGCTGATACGCGCCGCCTGTACCGTATATACCTGCAAGAGAAAAACATACTTTAGGAGACATTCACTTTGCAACAGGTATCATAATAACAATGCACATGTTGTAAACGAGGTGACATCATAGGGACCACGATAGAGCAATCACAAAGGAAGTAGGTACATCATACCGCTGTTATAACGTGTCAGATTGTTAATGATTACAGTGGTAAATATGTTCAATTAGCAGTCCTGGATCGGAGAGGTAAAAAGTACAAAATAATTTCATTATTTTTGATGCAAACGTGACAATTGAATCTATAGCCACAAAACTTTGCAAAGATAATTTTAATATGGTTTTGATTTATATATATTATTTAAATTGTACAACTAACATATAATCCCGTACCAAACCGGTCGACTGCGGGCACCGGCATGACGGGTTAGATACGAGCCAATAAACAAAAAACATAACCAATTAAGTTCATTGTGGTCCTCAAACTCAAGGTCACTGCATTGACTTTTCAGAGAATCTTATCCTCTAATAATATTCATCACTCTGGGAAAATACATATTTATGTCGTCTATGACCAAACTGTTTCTTGTCATTGCGAAATCAGCATGACCAAAAAAAAAATTATATTCATACAAAGTGAACGAAAAGTGCGCTGTTTTTGCATGAAAATTCAATAATTGTACAAGATTTCAAATCAAGTAGAATCGTGGATTATTCCAAGATTTTCTTCTTAATGTTTTCATAAAAGATATTAGTAGTACAATCAGAAACGATTAGGTACCTATAACTCGAGCAAAATCTTAAATCTATTTCGAAATTTTCTCCTGCGCTTCTTAGCTTAGTTCAAATTACTCGTAATTCTGGGTAAGTTGATATTTTAATCTTCTTAATTACTTTTGATTACAGCCGGTATTTACTTTAGACAGGTATTTACCTCATTTACAAAGTTTCTAGTGAATAATAGATACACAGGTAAATTTGGATAATTTAGTTTTAGTTTATTGGTGGTAGTACCACTATGTCCATTACTCAACATTTGCCAGATTTAAGAGGTTTAGTTCAGGTACTTGTTAAGAAACTGTATAGAGTTTGTGTTAACAAACTCTATACAGCTTCTGCGCGCTCGGAAGACGAAAATCCATGGTAGTAACTCGTTTATCTGTGATGTTTAAAGAAAATATTGTTAATGATAAACGTAAACAAATGTTTATTTACAAAGTGCAACCCATAGCATTTTTTAGATATTGTTCTTAGAAGAATCTGCCTAACGAATGGGTAATAGTGTGTAAACTAAGTATATGACGATTTCAAACATAATTTTGCTTCCCAGTGAAATAGAACTATTGTAGTATTGGAATCTAAATTATCAGTTCCGGCCAATACAGGCACAGAATTTAAAAAAGTGATCTAGAATTTTGACACCATTTTTTTGGTAAGTAGCATAGATATAGAAAAAAAGGGGAGATATGCAATGACGCTATGTAAGATCGGGTACCGATGTCGCCACTTTTTAGCTTGTGTGCAATTCAAACTTTACGCTCTATTATCTACTACCATGACTTAAAGATTTTGATTGGGTAGGGCTTAAAATATGAAAACGACGTAACACATTTTAAAATTTAACAAAATTAAACTTACAGTCACTTGTGTAAGAGTTATATTACAATATTTCAGTATTTTTCCACCTTGGTTCAGCCAGTCACCATCAGATGGCGTTTTAGTAAACATGCTACTAGTATATAATAGCTAACTATTACACGTTAAATGGCGCTAAAACTCGTTTTTCGCTATGTTATTTTCGTTCGTGTGATAGTTAAGTATGTAAAATTAGAAGCACATTTCACGGCGCGTTTTACGCCTGTAGTGGTGACGGTTGCTTGGGTTTTGATTGGGTAGGGTTTAAAACGTGAAAACGACGTACCACAATTTTAAAATTTAACTAAATTAAACTTACAGTCACTTGTGTAAGAGTTATATTACAATATTTCAGTATTTTTTCATCCTGGTTCAGCCAGTCACCATCAGGTGGCGTTTTAGTAAAAGTTAAATGGCGCTGAAACTCATTTTTCGTTACACTAAGAACTCACGGAGCGGTTTTCACCCGCACCTGTCGCGGGACTGCGGGAACTGTAGAATGTGATCGCTAAGTATGTAAAATTAGAAGCACATTTCACGTCGCGTTTTACGCCTGTAGTGGTGACGGTTGTTCGCGGTTAGCGCGGCGGGGAACGAGTAGACCGCGCAGGATGCGATGACCTGCGCGCTTGGCGGCCGTCGTCGCCCGCGCACTTTGGCGGTCGGTTCAGGCGCAATGTGATGCAGGCGGTATGAGTTCTCTATTAACCGCGCGAGTTGCGATTAACTCCCACTAACTTCGCGGTCCGTTCCGCAACCGCGGCGGCTACGTGCCCGCACAAATTTGCTGGGTCGTGAGTATTGAAATAAAACCGCTGTCAGCAGCGCGGGCGCGGATGGAAACCGCTGTGTGAATTGTTAACCTTATTAACCTTAAACTGATGCTACTCAACGAGGGATGTGGTCCTACCGAATCGATAGTTAGAAACCATGTGGCTGTTTTTAATATTAAAAAAATATTTACATTTTTCATACTATACCTGCACTGGTACAGGTGTAGTATTAAATTAATTTATTAATATAAATTATTATTATTTTTCTAATGGCGGCCACTAGGCTTGGGCCAGTGTCAGTTTTATAAAAATAATATAAAAAATATGGCGATCGTCACCAGTGTCACTTTTCCATTATACGTTACCACAGGTTGGTGTCACTATCAAGAGTAAACTTGAACCATCAACGAATTTAATAAATTAAATTAGGTATTTCATTTTTTTATGAAGGATTTATGTAATTTTCTATAATTGCTTCTAATTTATTTTGCAGGCACATGTAAAAGAAAGCCGATTTTATTTTATTTATTTTTTATATACATTTGCTATGGAATTTTAAACAAATTAAGAAAAAGTAATAAGAAAACCAATCTTTCGATTTTCCTGCAGCTTCAATCCAACCTTCTTTTATTTTGAACAATGAGTTCAAAAACTTAAAAATTAAAAATGCTCTACGCTTCATTTCGAGTAACTTTAGTTACTCGAAATAAAAGGTTTAGTAATAATAATAATAATAAAAATAAAATAAAAGAAATCAATTTGACGTGAATGCTTTTCGCTTCGATATTTTAGGGACTTCAATTATAAAGTTCATAGTAAGAAATTCAAACATTTCAGTAAACATTTATTGTCCATAAACATCAGTCATCGTAAATGAACATTGAGTCTAGAAATTTCTATGGAGACAAAAAGAAAACATTGAATAATAATAGAAATAGTAAGTAAAAATGCAAATAGCCGATGGAATGTTATCTCACTGGTTTTAAAATTTTTGTTTTCACTCAAATTTTTACAAGGTGTATTTGCTACAACTTGGCATTTTCACGTTTTACGAGAGATCTTGTACGTACAACGATCGCCATGTCACTGTGGCGATGTTTGTAGTAGTGTCACCTCGATATGACCATTTTGTATCCATCGTATCGAGGCGTCACGAACCACGCACCCATACCAATCTCCCCTTTTTTCTATATCTATGGTAAGTAGCAGTAGAACTCCTTGTGAAAGTGTTCGTTCAGAGAAGTACTACCACCTTAACTATTTCTGTCGCCAAACAGTAATGTGGGCATTACTGCGTTCCGGTCTTGAAGGGCTGCGTGCAGGAAGTGCTGGTGATTTTTTTATAACACCAAGTGACGGGACGAGCAAGTCGTGCGCCTGGTGGCAAGCGACACGCCTGTCCATAACAGTTGAAGTGCCACTCAGGGCTTTAAATCGCAAAGGTCTAAGGGGCACTCCCACTGCACCCGTCACCGTGAGACATAGTTCCATGTGCCTGTAATTTCACCAGCACCCTTCCAAACCGGAACGCAGGACATAAGGTGTCAGTACTTCCCTGGACGATCTCTTTCACGAGGGGCACTACTACTACTACTGAATTAAACTAAATGCTATCTTCATACTACAGTGTTTATTTAAATTTACCGAACGGTACTGTTTCTACTACAGTAGAAATGTGCCATGTGCGATCGTAGTGTCCCATTTACACAACTAGCACTTGAAAATCTTATCGTACCTCTTCTCACTATCTGCCGTATCTGACATTTTTGTCGTAATTGTGTAAGACGTGCGAACTTAATCTCGCAAGCATCTCGCAGTCGCCACTATTCGTCATGTCTATGGTTTACATGAACATGTATGTTACATGAACTCATTATTAGAGCCTATGCACACGGCGTGTTTTATACACACCGACAACGTGCGTATACGCACTGTTAACGCGTGTATGTATCGCGCATTTTGATAAGAGATAGTATTAATTTTAGTTTTCTTTGTTAATTTTTCAAATGAAGCAACTCCTTCAAATTCTATATAAGCTTCATGCTTGCACCGCAATTCTTGCGCGGTTTTAAATCGATTGACTATAGCGCGTCTGCGGCGCGTATAAAACCATGTCCAAAGGCTCTTAGAGGAGCATAATACGAGATATTACAAAGTTAGTCAGAAAAGGGTCGTCCTGTCCCTACCTGGCAACTCATTTGCGATTTTAAGGGTTTCCTGATAACTCAAATTTCTCTAACGGACCGTTGGAATATTCCCCAACTTTTTTTAGAACAAAATAAGTGCGCATTTGACCTCCATCTTAAAAAGTGATGATGAAGTCGGCGATGGAGCATGCACATCTAAATAATGCCTATTCACTCTCCTTCCAAAGGCACAAGTTATAGTGTTGAAGGAATAAGTCTGCAGACAGGCAATTCCACTCCATAGCCGTTCGCCATATAAATGTGGAAGCGAAGCGCTTCGTACGAACCAAGGCACAGCCGTGCGTGCTCTTAAACAGCTACTTATGGTCTAGACTTTTTATTTATTTTAATTACAGGAAGTTTACTGTCCATACGCAATCACGCCTGTCCCTC